TGTACTGTACTTTAATTTCAACAAGTCTTATTTTGCAAATGATGGCCGAAAAGTCAGTAAAGAAACGCCATCTCTGGACGTATGCGCAGGAATGTGATTTAATAGATATCTGGAGGGAGCCAGAAATCGCCGAAAAAGTTGAAGATAAATTGTACCGTCAGAAGGCTGGTGTCCACAAAAGGATAGCAGAGAGAATGCGGGACTTACAATAGGCCACAATAGCATAACATCGGCAATTGTTGTGACAAAGTTGAAAAATCTAAGAGCATACCACAAGGCTGTGAGAGACGTTTTTATTCGTGGGACGGGCAAGAGGTCGGCCAATGTAATAAGGGTTGACCCGAAATCGGCATGCCCACACTACCACGCGCTAAACGAAATACTTGGGGGAAAACCCAGTGTAAACCCTCCAGCTGGACTCCTCGGCCAGTCTAATCAACCGCCGAGACCTAGGCCTAGCTTATGCCTATAGTCTCGATCTAGCATAAACTAGTCGCGCGAAAATCAACAGTAATTACCCATCATGCGATTGTACTTCCTGTCTAATGATGTGTTTTCCGAATTTCTGGTAGTCAAAATATCTCGCTCTAACTTTAACGTCGAACGCGATTAGTGGATTTAATCCAATTAACTTGGCAAGTAGATCAGCTAGCTTATGGTAAACAACAGTAAATGAAGTACCTTTAATATTAAAGTTTGGTGAGAGAAAAAGTGAACTTTAAAGGATTTAAATCCTAGACAGGGATTTGAAGGAACCTGTAATCAAAACCCACATTTATCCATACAATTATATGAGGTGGGACGCTGATTACACATGACACCTCACCTGTACAGTATGTTCACAAGTTTAAATACTGCAGGTACCAAGTAGGATATTTGGGCCTGTACTGGATATACTACTGTAATCCTTTGAATTCTGTGTATAACTTGGTTTGTTCTATGAACTATGAGGAATCATCATGAAAGTAAACCTGTGAATCATGTTTCCATAGGGTTGGCTTGCCCTAAAAAATTTCTGAAACAATGGCACACTGGCATAAACACAATTACAGGTATTATGTTTATTTTATTTCTTTTACTAATAATATTATACAAATAACATTTTATAACATTAAGTGTAGAGCTATTAACATTCTGATTATATGGCTATGCAATTACTCACTGTGTTGGGTCTTTGGCGTTTGGCTTGCGCTTCCCACTACGGACTTGTGACGGATCTAGTAGTGAGTGTTCCCAGATGGAATTTACACCGCAATTTACCAATGCATCCAGCATCTAAGAGAAGATATTGATACAATAAAGTGTTTTGAATACAGTATAGTGCTACAGTATGCCCATCTTTTGGGATGACCTCATGTGTCTTCAGCTATTGCAATTCAAATTTCTATAAACAGCTTACCATACAGTATTTCTGATGCATAATACAATCTAACAGGAAATGTGAGTGAAAAAAACTAATATGAAAGTTACAAATTTGTTATGTTTTCTGTTCTTTCAATTCTGATTTTAACTGAATTTAAATTTAATCTGGCAAAAATAATTAAAAATAGACTTAACAGTAGAATAGCGGAAACATTTCAAATAGGGCTTTGTTTGTGCCATATAATGTTTGTTATTATAACATATCCTCCAGAAGAGGCAAGACTACATTATCATGGATATCTAATACCACTAGGAAGTGAAGATTTGCTGATTAGCTTTACTGCTGCAGGGCACATACAGCACCAAAAGAGGAAGTACTAGATGAGCAAATGTGATTTGTAAACAATATAAAATACAGAATTATGTTTTCAGTTCAATAGGACTTGTTATGCCAATAGACAAAATATCAATATTAAGAAAATGGAGTAGAGAATCAAAGTAGAGCAGACATCATGTAGCTAGTAGTAGCATGGACACAAAACAAATAAGCAATTAGTACAGCTCCGCATATTACACCATAAGAAAATTATTATACGAAGGTTAGATTTAATGCTTGAAAAACAATTTTTTAATGCATTAAATTTAACCTACAGTAAGTATAATAATTTTCCATTAGTGTACGATGCATGCTCTACTAATTGCTTTATAAGTCAATCGCCATCCTTTAATTTTAGTTTTTGATAACCAACTGTTGTAGCAGTTATTGGTTGCTATAGTGACATGATCAGTATACATGTGAGTATTTACATTTAGCTATGCGTATGCTGATTTTTGCTCCTGCAGTACGCGTTTAATCAAAGATACTAGAAATACTAGAATCTTAGGTTTAATTAACTACACATCAGCAGTACAGTACGGATATGATGAATAACTACTGTAATTTGTATTGTGTTAGAAATAACTTGTTTGTAATACTATTTTGATAGACTTTCGTCAAATAAATAAACATTTCAGCATTCAAGAGTGAATACAGTCACTGACCTTTTTGGTCGGTGCATGCAGACAGGCAAAGTCGTGCAATGATTTCATAACTAGGATAGGCTATTAAAGGCCTAGGGCCAAGTACTGTAGTAGCAGGAAGCCTGGGCGGCCTCCTGCCTGGCCATAGGCTTACTCTAAATTTGTTCCTTGAGTCCTTGAGTAACATAGGTCCAGAATATTGCTATTAAATGTTCAGTTTGTTGTGTTTATGAGGGTCCATTTATTCAATGAATTCCTTAATTGTTCATATTGAATTTGAAGTAACTTTCTTTGGGTTCTAATTAAGCTTGTTTTACAAAAGTAATTTTCAATTACAATTCAATTTTCATCGCGGTGCACGATGTATTCGCAGTGACGAAAAAATTAGGAATTTTTTTTGCACACGAACCTAAAAAAAATCAAGCCAAGCATCCACTAATTGAAAAATTATTGAACGGTGGGGAATAGGCAAATAACTTTGGGAGTTGCAGTGATGACGTCACGATTGACTTATAATGGCACTTACTATGTATACAAGAAAACTCAAAATGCATATTACCCATTCATTAAATATTATATACTAGTCATGTTGAATAGAAAAACTACTTTGAAGGTTGATGAAATACATTACAATTGACTACTAATAATGATATTTAATAATGATAATGATAATTAATAATGATAATTTCTGTGAAAATCTGTCCACACTATTAAATGTGTACGGTACTGTATGTGAAAAATACCTGTGTCCGTGAGTATGACATCATCACACCCATATATGGCTATGATATGACATCATCATGCCCACATATGGCTATATGACATCATTGTTGTCCCAGAAAACTTCGTAGTATGGAAAGTGCCAAACAAAATTTAATATCATAGAGTAGGTAGTAATATATAATATAATTTAACATGGTATACTATATCATTGAATGATTAAATATAACCTGTAGTGTAAAATCAGTTTAAATTCTGCTTTTAGTATTTGTAGTTGCTTACTCTGATTTTGCCTCAGGTCATTAAAGGTCACATCCTTACAACACTTTTCCTTTTTAACCTCAAAACTATCCTTTCATATGTATTTCCTCAAATTTCACAAACAATAATTTCATACTTTGCACTTCATTTTATAATCACCAAAAAAAACGGGGAAAAATAGCCTTCCCATCAGACAGGCTGGACCTCTCATTGTCCAATGCTGGATGAGGTTGTCGGGTCGAAACCATTTATTTGTCCATCAAAATAAAGTTATTTTGATTGCTAATATCTAATATTGTTGTCTAAAAGCACAATTTTTATTCATACTAAGCCATTAAAACTTCCCCCATGAACTGTACAGAGATTTTAATTCGGGGACCTTTCTTTTATTCTGTGATAGAGGCTCTAGGCGACCACTTGGTTTGAATGCCCGTCAGACCTGTTGGATCCCCTGTTGACAAAGATCTGGTGCCACCAGAAGAACATATGAAGGTTGTAATTCCCTCCACCTCCACACATCAATTATAATACATACAAAATAATGAAAAACATTAGTATGCTACTCACCTCTAGTTGGCTACGAGGCCAAGGTGGGCCTCTACGTAAAGGCTTGATCTGCGAGACATGTCTGCCTAGACTACGGTGGACGTAAGAGCACTCATCACACACCACAACACCACGGTTTATTGAAGCCCATGAGGGATCTAAATACAAAATGAAAATGTTGATATAATTTTAGGTAAATAATAATTATACTGTATTACAATAATAATGAAATAGAGAAAACTTTCTATTTATCACCCTATACAATAACTGAAGAAAATGTGGTATTTTATAAAAAGCAATTTAAATTATACGTGTAAAAAAAAAAAGAATACAAATTATTTCAAATTTCATTCTGTATAATTCATAACAACAAAAAGTATTGTCATACACAGGAAATTATTTTATGATCATAGATAAAAATAAATATGAATACAAACGACAATTAAAAAGTGAAAGCTGGCACAAATTATTTTCTATCGGCATTTAAAATTACATGGTGCACAGATTGTAAAGACAGTGGAGGAATACTAAATTTACCATAAATCGTTGCAGAACCAAAAGATATCAGAATAAACCATTACACCTTGAATTAACTCAATCGATTAGTAACTTTCGTTCCATTTGGGGTTTGGTACTAGCTTTAACTTGACGGTTCAGTGATTCCCCCTATTTTTTATTCAAGCTGTCCTTTTGTGCAATTTTCATTTGTTTGAGTGTTCTTTTTTTCCTCTTGTATTGATTGTACTTTACTTGGATTTTTATATAGGGCAAGTTTATACATTTTTCAATGCATGTATATTTGATTGTACAGGTAATCAATTATATTTTGATGTCCCTTTTTTTTAATAAAATTACTCTACATCATTCTTAATGTTTTTTAATCTATTATTCATTATTCTCCTTTCTATGTCTTCAATGTGTTTTATTATTTTGTTATCTTTTTTATAGTGTTTCTTCCACATTACTTTTGTATAGTTATTTTAAATTTTATTCTAATTTTGCTATGTTTTTTCTCTTTTTGTTTTGATGGATTTTGCTTGTTTTATAATTGAATTACATTTTTAATGTAACTATTCTTCATTCATCAATTTAATGTTTAATTTAATGTTTTTGTTTTTTTTAATGTTTTTTTTTTTTTTTTGAATAAACAAACAAATAAAAATAATGTAAGGTTTGATGATGGTATACCTGGTGTGATAAATGGTACTTGTGCGTGCCAGGCATGTGTTACATGTTGGGCCATGTGGGCCTTGTATTCAATTTTTGGATAAAGTGTGCTTCATACAAAAAAAAAATGTTTTTAAAGAAATAATAATAATAATAATGGCCGTTTATTTTTGTGCCTGCGACCATCAAAATTATCTTGCTCAAATTAATCCTGGGCCAAATGTTATCTTTACACTATAGCGAAATAGTAGTAAATTTTAGTGGTTTGGAGCATGTATTAAATTGTGATGTGTCAAAAAAAAATATATATATATTTCTAAAATGCCTCCGAGTTAAAGCTCAATGCCTCCAACCGCCGGTTGCGTGGTCGCACCCTTTTTCCATCCCTAATAGAGGGATTTGGCGATGAGCATCACACGACCTAACTTGGGTGTTGGATGTAAACAATAAACTGGCACAGCAGGGATTGCTATGGCGGCTGTCCAATGTTATTGCTGTTAAAAGATCATTATAATTGCTGTATTTGCTCTTTTTTTAAACCTAAACCTAATTTAAGTTACTCTAAGTCGATTGTTAATGTCCCGAAATTCACCACACAAATTTGGTGTGACTTGTCATCCAAGGGAATTTAATATTTTTTGACAAATGTTAGGCCTATGCCCCTGCATATCTACGGCCTGTTTAGTTATGCACGAGAGTCTTCGACCCGTAAACTACAGTGTTTTAAGGCCGGCCCAGCACAAGATTTGTTTATCTTAAGGCCCGGGTATTCAACCTTTTTAAGCTGAGGGCCAGTTCCAAGCTGTTGAGACCAGCGGCGGGCTGACATAAATTGTGTACTTCCATTTTTTCTATGTCAGCTCCACCCATTTTCTTTTATATTTGGTGGATTCGAAATAGAAGGGGTCATGGAAGAACATTCACAGATGGGAGAAAATACCCAGCATGGTTGGAGCTGAGGTAAGAAAATTTATGATTATGGCACCTCTAGATGCTCGGAAATGGCACTCTCAGACTTCAATTTGAATATAATTTTCTAATCTTTTCCATTTTATTTTAGAGTTAGTAAAAAAAAAAAATTTTTTTAAATCTTGTACTACCCTGCCACTAGAAATTTTCCTACCACGAGGCGAGCAAATTTTAACAAGGATACCTCTAATTTCCTGGGAATGGCACTTACAGACTTAAAAATAAGTTTTTAAAGCAGTGTTTTCAAAATAACACCATATCAGCATCCCACTTAATCCATCCCCATTATTAGTCTACCCCTCCCCATGACAATACCCTACACCACTAGATACACTAGTGAGCTACACTCAGAAAAAGCCACACTCTTGTCAACAATGCTAGATTAGGGGTGCCTAGGTGGTGTTTCTATAAACAGAAAAACTTGTTCTAAATATTGGCCAGAAATTGATTTACTTTTAGCAATGTTGCGCGGGTCGGATCAAAATCTTTGGCGGGCCGGAGTTGGCCCATGGGCCGGGGGTTGAACACCGGGGTTCTAAGGTGTCTGCATTCTTTTTTTGTAGTGCTATATTTTTTATTATCTAAATGAACTGTATCAATTTGTATTTTGCTACAAAGGAAATTAATAATAAATGTTATTTTAAAATATAAATTGAAATTACTCACAGAAAGTAAGTTAAAACAGAATAAAACACAGAACTTAAGCTCTAAAAGTTGATCAAATAATAAATATAAAAAACCTTGTAGTAATTGATACTTTTCAAAATTTCAATAGGCAATTTGTGGTCTGGAGCAGAACATTATTTATAATTAATCCCATACAATATAGGAACTCTCACATAGTAACTGATTCTAATCATTGATAATAATTAGCAATTGAGTAGACACTTGAAAGCAATTGGGTTTTCTTTAAATATTTATGATTAAGAACATGGATATTTATTGTCTCAAACATTCAAATATTCGATACTGTACGTACTGTCATTTAAACCAGACCCCAAAGGGGACTGGTTCCTATATTAACTTTATCTTTAATAAGAAAATATAATACATATTCCAAGTATTGAAATGCACGCCATCGTGTCGGGATTCAATATCTCGACATTAATTATGTCATCATCAGGAAGGAAAAAATTTATCCATACTTGCAAGCTTGTAGATGCGCAAGTACCAAAAGTGTTCAACCAATCAAAACATTACCTCTAGTAGGTGACATAATAGTGATTTAAACTAAGCATTCTACTGATCAAAGCTACCTACAAAAACAAAGAAAGCTCCTTTGAAGCTCTGAGCCCATTGTTAATCAATGAGTGTAGTCTACGTATAGCAAACAAACGCTTCTTTAAACAATAGTATAGACCAATTTCGGGAACGGTCAATAATGTTAGTACTACAGAAAGTATTAAACCTAATTTATTACTTACATTACAGACCATCTTTAATATTTGGAATGTTACAAAGTGTTGTTTTATACATTTCAATTTTCAGTATCATTTCCAATCATATAAATTTCATACTGATAGTGACTTCAAGCACAATAATCAGGTACTGCAGAAACCAAATCAGCAAAATCTAGGACACATATTGGATGTTGTTTGCTACTTCGAGGTCTACAGGAGGCAACACCTTGCTAGCAAAAGTTTGGATTATGGTCAGGATGTAGAGCCTGGGGCTAAGAATACTGCAGACTCTCAGCGAGATCTCCAGCTCTGATCAGACATTGAGATGTTTATTTATATCTACTGAATGAGCTTAGGTGTGATATTTTTGATAGCGAACCCTTCACCCACCAATAATGGTAATTTAATATAAAAATAAAATATTGTTTTTGGCCAGTTACAGTAGTACACCATCCATGATTAGAAAGGGAAATTTCAGAAAAAACAAATTTATTTGTTTTATTTATTTTTTTTTTTCACTCCCCTGAAATCTCCAAAAACAAGATAAATTTCTTCGTTAATTATATAAAGTTAAAAGCATTATCAATCTTATTACTACACTGTTTACATTCATCAATAAAATTTTATTTTTATTTTCTCCTTCATATGCTTTTGGCACTGTAAGAAAAGACAATTTTGGTGATTGGTCGAAATGGCATCATGTGACTAGTGCTACGAGGATCGGAAATATAACTTTGAAAAGTGACCGGTCTCTGACGTCACCGGATTACACCCGCATTGTGCCAGTAGTGAATGCTAGTTGAGCGAACGATCGATCGCTCACAAATTGTGAAGGTGTAAGCCTAGCGCTTTGAAAATAGCGACTTCAAATAAGTTTAAATCTCTCGACGAAGACAAATTGGATAGAATTATTGACGAAAAGGATTCTCGGTGTACAAAATTTGTTGTGAATTCATCCATTAATGTAGGCCTACTCAGTGAATATTGTAAGGCCAAGGAATCATCAATTAGGCCTACAGTAGGCCTACTTGCATTGAAAATTTCAACGGAGCTGAATGCGTTTCTCCGGTCATTCTATGCTGAGGTAAGGAGAGCAAACGGTGAATTGTACGCTAAACGATCAATGATAACGCTACGCTACGGACTACAGAAACATTTTAAAAAAGTGACGGTAATATGAAGTATTTGGCTATGTAATATAACAGATATTGTGTAAAAGTTAAATAAAAGGTCTTGATATTTAAAGTAATGTGTTCAGTTAATTATTTGCATTTATTTTTGGCTATGTATATTTAAACAGATATTGCCTTTTCTAATCGGTGTAATATAACATACGATATCCCTTGGGAATTATATTTTTCTCTCAGGACTATATTTTCCCTCAGCGCTACACGCTTCAGGAAAATATAATCCCTCAAAAAAATATAATTCCCTAGGGGATATGAAATGTTATATTACATCTCTAAGCAAGCAATATTTGTATAATAATGCTTGTGTAACTTAAAAACTTTTTGAAACCGAAAATTTCAATTGAACTCTGAACAAACTGACCTACTGTACTGTACACAGATCCTTCTGAAAATAATTGCTATTTATTTCCAATTCATCTTCGGGTTTATAAACAACACAATCCTTTTTAGTTGGACAGAACAAAGTGACACATTATTATCACTCTAATATACAAGAAAAAGAGAATTAAGTAATTGTTTGTTGGTAACAATTCTTGCAAATGAAACTGAGTGATTGGCAAATTAATTATACTTGTTATACTTTCAGTTTTAACATCGTTTTTTTTTTCCTCCAAACATCCTACTGTAACACAAGATGTCTTACTTCCATGTTTGCAGCAGTAGCGTAAACTTTACAGAGAAAATAAATAACTCACTTAAGTCCAATTAATGTTATCTCAAATTAAAAGTCTATTTGTATTATTATTATTAATATTATTAGTATTATTATTATTTATATTAATATTATTATCATTTATTTATTTATATCATTTATATAGCACCTTTTCTTTGTAGGTCTATACAAAGTCCTTCTCCTGGTCATTGGGTCTACATGCTTAAATGTTGCTGCTGGTACATATTATAACACCTACAGTTAATTTTACAGTATAAGTTTATTTCGCACTCAAATCCAAAAGCACTCGGATAAAGCATAAATGGATGAAAATATCCATGATGCTAATTTCTGGTTGTAGAAAATGTGCTTTATTTATTGACTTCAACTCAGAAACTGGGACTACTGTAGAAGGCAAGCATTTAAACCACCTAACAATAGTAAAGGAGGTAGAGCTCTAATCTATATGCCTGATGAAAAATATTTTCACAATGCAAACTGCATACATGTTGATATATTTAAATGAATCAGTAAAGAGTTTTATTTTTATGTGAATATTTGAGCTATCCTTGTCCCACTAAAGTCACTTAGGCAACCATGCTTTTGAATATGCTGGCCTACACTATGGAATACTCTACCAATTGAAATCAGGAATGTAGTCTAAAATATTTTTAAAATCATTTAAAAACTCATCTTTTTATTGTTTTTAATTGAAACTTTTACTTTCCTGTTGTAAATCTTTTAATTTTAACTTGCGTGTGATATTTGTTGCCAATTTGAATTTTATTGTCATGCAATATGATTGACTTTCAATATGCTGTTAGAATTTTAGCTTCCTATAATTTTAACTTCCTTTTTATATTGGAAATTTGCATTCTTGTTCTGATTATTGTAATGCGCACGTTGAAGGTGCGAAGACAACTGAAGAAAAATATATTTTAATGGAATTAATATAAATGAATAAATATTCTAACAAAAGTGCATACAAGCTGTTACAAGATTGAGTGATCAAAAAGTAACAGTTCACCATCACCATTTAACACAACAGAATCTAGCAACACTAAATTACTGTATGTTCCAAAGACAAAAATAAATTAAATGAAATGAAGAATTCAGACCAGAAAAGTCCTTTCCTTCAGAAGAGAAATCCATGAAGGTTGTTAACTGTATCACTAGTTCACAATACCCCTCAAAAACAATAGTTTATGTATCTGGTTTTAAATTGAGCAAACACAATACCAATTTGATACAAAAATTATTTTGTGCACATGACTTCATGGAATGAATAAAACGTTAATCCAATATTTGGGGAAATAAATGAAGCAATCAATTGGATGGTTACAATGACTATCCTGGGCATATTTCAATTAGGTTTACCTTTAATATAAAATCATCTCTTGTAAATTATAAATATTAATATATTTTAAAATAAAGAGTTTCTTTCTTTCTTTTACTTGGCATCATCACAACATAACATTAACAATAAAAAAAATAAGAAAACATTTAAGAGACAGAAACTATAATTAAATAAATAAAAAAATAGGTAAAGATGCCATAGGATAATCACATAAAAGTCATTTAAAATAAAACAACTTATTTCCCTTATTATAAAGGTCAAAAATAAAACAAAAAGGGGAAATAATAACTTGCAATCTAATTGAAATGGAAGGAATATAGCATCCTGATAAATTTATTTTTAAAATGTTAAAAATTAATTAAATTTACAAATGCACTGTACAACCTGCAATTTGCTGAGTGAATATAAGCAAAGAGTATAAAACTGCAAGAGGTCCGACTGCCCTTATTTTGTATGCAGACAATGGAACTCACAAAAGGGCGTGTCCTTCAAAAGAAGGTAAAAGGCATTCGTATCAAATGTGTGCTGCGTTTTGTAACGCAAACATACTTTCGATACGAACGCCTTTCACATCCTTTTGAAGGACACAATCCTTCGTGACATTACTTTTCAAGATAGGATTGCGTTCCGACGAAACTTTGACAGTCGAATCTCTTGCAGTTCTACTATATACTCTTTGCTATAAGTGTCAAGTGTTTAGTACACCCACAATATCAAGAAAAAAGAAGACATCATCGTGAGCAAGAAATAGTAGAGGGTACTGTATTTCAATATTTAGGGTATAATTCCTTTTGATTTGAGCTTTAAAAATGCATTTTGAATTTATGTGTGTAGTCAGATTCAAGGTCTCCAAATTCTTTTTGAATCTAACATCTTGATTTAAGTCCCAAAATCACTTCAAAACATGCAATCATTCTAACATCCACATACTTTACATGATTTATCTTAATACAATGGAGCTTTTGGGAATGTCAACCAACACGGACAATAAGGGGAGGGCATGTTGTCCCACAAAAACATGTGTCCACGTATGTATACGCTGTCATTTTGTGGAACCTACTGTAGCAACAATATACAAGGGGCAGCATTAAGCAGAAGAGTTCATTATCCAATGAACTATCCAAAAATATAGTTTCTATCAGACCATTTTTAGGATTTATCCTAAAATAGTGCCGCCAACATTTTGAAACTCACTGGGGGACTTCCAGCGGCCTGGCCTGAGTACTGTAGCTGGCTAGTTACAATAGAGCACCACGTAGCAGATAGCGCCGCTGACCTTTGCTATAGCAGCAGTAGACAACAGATACGATCTTGCTTATTACTGTACGACCAGGAGGGTTAATCAACTTTACCTTAGTCAGGGATGCACGTGTGTGACATATAAAAGCATGGTTTTTGTAAGCAGGCATGTTAATGTAAACTGTATGTCAAGTCTAGAAAAGTCATCCCAATTTTGAAATGGGGATTTAGGAAAATTATAACATGTTTTGTATACAAAATACCGATAGACCATGAATTGTACAACCAAGTTTCAGGCAGTATTGCGGGCAGCAGTTCCAAGTTATTTACTCACTCTCTATCACCGGGATGATCATGTCACTTCCGATGTATGTCATCACTGAAATTGTCTTGAATCTGTTTTTAATAAATCATTCTAAATCTAAGTGAAAAACAGTGCTTTTGTCTGTATTTCAAACCCTGTCTAGGACTAGGCTGGCACATAAGCATGATCATGCACATAGGCCTAGATACCCAGATAATGAGTTATATTCTGAATGATCCCCCCACCCCTGATGGTGGTGAGGGAGGGCAGCACACCAATGAATGCACTTATTGAAAGGTACGTGACTATCGGCCTTTGAGCGAGCAATATCATGGTTATCAAAAACATGCAATTATTTCAGAGAAGATAAGTTTATTTTTTTCTGAAACCAGTTAATTTTGTTAGTTTATATTCATCCACAACTAAGTGTGACATTTAGCTAATTTGAACACCGAAACCTAGTTTTTGACCGAAAATAATAATGTGCTGTGAATAGAAATTCCCCAAATTTATGTGTTGTGTGGGGAGCAAGGCTGACGTCATGCATGTCTGGTCTTGCTGAAATCACATATGGCGACACACATGTACTGTACACAGCCACGATTTTATGTTGTCTTTTTGCTTTGTTAATTGAATTCAAGTTTGTATTGTTTTGAAAACTAATTTAATTGTGTTAATTGATATATTTATTCATATCTAGTTTTGGTATTATGTTTCTTGAGCACCAAAATTTTGTACTTGAGTCTTTTTGATTATAATGTATTTACATAATTGAGCCAAGGTATGTCTACATATAATGGTAATTAATTACTTGTAATTAATTAAATTATTATTTAATTAATAAATGATTGAATTTTAATGAGCTTTTCTCTTTTATGTTCTTGTTGTATGATTTCAAACATTTTTATATTTTATTGAAGTAAGTCTAAAAACAAAGAAGCTAAAGCAGTTCTTGAACATTTTTCAAGAAAACCGTCACAGACTTTCTATTGTTTACATTGTTGGTTTTGAAGGACCAAAATTAGGCATAATTAATAATTTCTTAAATTCTGTAACTTTGTTGATTTATGGCGGAGGACAATAACCTTGGTATCAATGTAATGCTCTTTGTAGCTGCAAATGAATTGCTTGAATTTGAAATTCTTTGTCACATTAGTTTAGGCCTACCTACTTATTGATATTTTTGAGCAAACCACTGACTTATAAAATTATAATTATTTACAACTTCAATTTAAGCCTAGGGATGACTATGTGTGCCATGCATGACAATGATGATTGATGTGCAACTGACGTCTTATGCTAGGCTTTTACTTAGCTAGGTCTAGCTAGGCCTAGCCTGGGCACTGATTATTCGACCAAACCACACTCTCTGAACTCTAGCTCTGCAGATGCAGTCAGAATGCACTTTTCTATCTAATCCCAGGCCGGCCTACGATCCATACATACACATATACACAACTTGATTGGCACTTACCACATGCGCTACAGTCTGCGCATATTTCTGTTGGTGGCCTAGACTTTCCCCTCATTTTATTTTCTTCCACTGGACTATTTAAAAATCTTGTAAACGTACAAAAATACTTGTTTATTTCATAAACTCACTTCTCAGCTCGGCTGACCAAACCCAGCTCGGAAGTTGTTTAGGAAAATACACTTCCTTATTTGGTTGCTCATTGTGTCAAAGGTTGTCAAAAATTCGAACAACGTGTTGGGGGCGACAGAGCGAGTTGAGATGGGAAGGTTCCGCAGCACAAAAAAAAAAAAAAAAAAAAATTCTATTTTACATTGTATATACCAATTTTAATTATGTTCTGTAGTATTAATGTACAGGTAACACAATAGTTTAACCATTTTTTAAAAAATAGAAAATATATTTTAAACTACCATGGTGAATCAATTAAACAATAACACTTTGAATTCAAACAGATATGGTCATTCAAGAGATAGGCCTAACATTGTTACTCACATGTTGTTATGAGTAGTTTGCCTTTTGACAACGGACAAAAATCTACGATTAGACATATGCACGAAAATAATATTGCTAATAGGCCTACACTTTCAATCAATCACGTATTTAACGGAGGTGTTTAAAAAAACATATTATCAGTATATATTTATTTATAGAAAATAATGTTGTATAAGAACTACCGGTATCCGAATAAATATACAGATAAAGGCATATGGTTTTTTTTTGTTTTTTTTTGTTTGTTTGTTTGTTTGTTTGTTTTTTTTTTTTTTGCCAGTTTTGTTTGTTTTTTGTTTTTTTTTGCCAGTTGACTAAATCAGTGAAGAAATGAATAAATCGTAGGCAAGTGTATAAACGAACCTTTAGCCTGATTTTCTGCAAAAGATGACTGTTGGTATTTTTTTTTACTTACTTGATTTGGATAAAAGCAAAACCCTGACACTGAATTTCAAGTGAAGAAAAAATGCATCCTCGTTTCTTAATCAATCGTTGCTTAAAGCCATAAACTAAATTGAGAAAATAATTTAAATTATCATTAACCGTTCGCCCCAGGTTCCTGAGTGATGTTAAGGGGGAGTAGGTTGAGTCTAAAGATCATACAAGTGGAATTTAGCCTTTTTTCATATTCAAAACCTAATCAATTAACTGGGGCTGTCAAAGCTTGAAGTGGCCATGTTGAAACCTGACCCGGACCGTAGGCCTACCGGTGGCTACGGCTCTGAGTTTTCTGCTTCATTTATTATTTTCAAACAAATTTTAATTGGTAAAATTCTATTTTTGAGTATTTTTGGTTTTGTCATTACCGGGTATTATTTTACGTTTGACAGATACAACAATGCATACCTCTACTTGTATTGGATCATCCGGGATGCATACACAAGCGCCGCACATAATTATGCTAATTGTACTTTTTTTTTCTGGGGGAGAACCAAATAAATGAATGTGAACAATAGTTTGCCCATTGGCGTATTCTGTTGATGTTTAATTTAATTCTGTCGTTTAATTACATTTTCATTCATTTCATTTACTTTGACTTTGTCCCGTACAAAAGATAGAAAAAAAGTTTCGTAAATTGGCCAGACATGATTACCAAAAGGTATACCCTTTTCTGCTTTGAATTTCACCAATGGGAAAAAAAAATCAAATCAAGTTCTAAAGCACAATATTTAATTAAAAAAACACTTATTATCCTGCCTTGTTTTTAAATTAAATATTTTTTTTAACAAATGTATACCGTAAAAACGAATAATAGAAGCCCTGTGCTTCTCTAAGACCGTTGGAGGGATTCTTTTCCAGATGGACTTCTTTTCAAGATTAATTTCAAAATCCGTGGGGCTTTTTTCAAAAAATAAATGCTTTAAATTTAAGAAATTGCTACTATAAAATCGTAGGCCTATAGTACATTTTTCAACCATGGAATTCGAAATTCGGTTTTTAAAATTAAAAATAATAGAACCACCACACTTACTTTTCGGACTCAATTAGGAGCATTCTCACAGTACACTAAATTAATCCAATGGCATTGGAGGTAAATTCCAAATGGAAGGTGGACAATTCGTTCACATGATGATTGAAGTAATAATTTATTGTTGACATTTTAGTACTGTTTAATCTGAGATTATGCTATAATAACACCTTTCCATAGTGTCAATCAAACTTATCAAATCAAAACAGGTCCATATGACACACGTGTTGTCCTAGGCCTACAAACGCACGTGTTTCGTATCCAAGGGGTGGGGCTTAGTGGCGTCTAGCGTAGGCCTAGTTACGCGCAATGCATACGCACATCATCTCTTGGCGACGTGTCAATACAACTCTCCATGGGTTCACTTTATTCCTGCAATATTATTATGGCTACAAATGTTAAATCTAAAGGCCAACTCAGACAGCGTCGTACGACGCAGCGCCCGACTCGATGTGTTGTCGCGTTGGGTCTGTGTGAGTTGAACGCAGCCGCTATGGTGTGCGTCGGGGGAAGTCGCGTCGTAGAATATTAAACATGTTTAATATTTCTCACGAAGGTTTAAGACTGTCCCCGACGAAAAATCGGGTCGGGCTGCGTTGGCCGGCGCTGTCTGAGTTGGCCTTTAGATGCAAATAATAAATTTTTTTTACAACCGAGTGTTGAGGTGGTGAAATGCGTACATAAAATATTGGCACAGTGCTATTATTATTTAGCTATAAAAAAAAAAGTTAAATAAGGCGATAAGAAACATCACTCTAGGTGCTGTGACGTTTATTACAAAATAGGTGGTAACTGTATCTCATATTCTAGGGCGTTGTTTATTCATTATACCGCGCAGCGGCCTTCTTAGTTTAGCAGTGGCGTATTTAAGGAAGATGATGGCCTTTCTAAGCCACAAGAAAGATGTGTTTTTCCCCCTCTACCCACCATTCAAAATCTTTTCAGCAAAAGATACACTCAAGTCACAAGTGAATTAAAAATCATCTCGATCTGATTGCTTCCAAGACCATCTAACTTACTTTTTTAGAGCAAGTACCAGCGCCCCACCCCCCCCCACACATGTTCATACCTTTAAAAACAACACGATAAAACAAAATACACTGCTTACTACGGAAAATATACACCATCAAGAAATTGTTTCATCTTATTAAAAGTCATTTAAAAATAATCCCAAACAGCATATTACATACAAATATATACAGATTAATGGAACTGCACCCTGGTTAATAGTAATCAGGCTGTTGTTGATGTTGCTGATGATCAAACTAAATGACAATAGGCACATTGTATACGGTATGGCACACGTATGCAAATAACTATTGCTGGCTATATCACAAAGCATGAAGCCTCCTTATCATAGTGGATATTCTCCATGTTTTATGCTACATTTATTTTATTTTTTTTTAAATACGGTGTATGTATTTTACATTTAGCCAAGAATATTCGCGGTAAATATTGTTCAGTCCAATTCAACATGATTGTCTCTAGAATTTGGTTGAATATATTTGCTTCATATATTTTTTAAAATATCAAACAATATATATATATATATATATATAGATTAAAAGGCAAAATACTGGAAAACAACAATGCTGTGGGAAACAATGGCTGGATCTCAGTAGAGATACAAAAATGATAAGCAACAGCTAAAAAGTGAACGTAAGTAAACAGCCAAAAATAGAACCAGAGCTTTCGGACAACACTAGTCCTTCCTCAGTGGCGAGTGAGTGTATATATATATATATATATATATATATATATATATATGCTAAGCAGACAACGGCAACTTTTAAACAATAACGCACAACTTAATATTATAACAAACGAAACATTTTAAATAGGGTTATATGGCCACTATTTATTTACAGTATTTATTATAATTTCAGCCAAGAATGGAAAAAGTGCAAAATACATGAGATGACAAGGACAAAGCCCAACACCATTGGTGGGCAATTTTACTCCAAATATAATGAAAAATATAATCAGTAAAACATCTGTAAAATATCAAGGTATCAGTAAAACATCAAGGATAAAACAAAGTACAAAGTACATCATAAAAACATTAATGTCATTACAAATTGCAACGAAATAAAAAAATATTCAAATATAGATGCAGACGGTAAACCAATGACAATAATGTTTTTTTCCCATTATTTGTCGTTTTTTTTTGTACTGTTATAATTGTATCTGTTTGGCATTATTATCGAAATAAATGTTATCTGAATCTTAAAACCAAAAAGTACGGTACTGTATATACAAACTCAGGAAAACTACAGAAACAATAACATTTTCCATTCCATATACTGAGCACCATGAAGAGAATTTTAGTGAACACATACAATTGACCAGATGCCGTAGATGCTATATGATTGATTGATTGATTGAATGAATGATTGATTGAAACCATCATTACACTGCACCCTATATTGTCTGTCTCTTATACACATCTATCAAACTTATCAAATCAAAACAGGTCCATATGACACACGTGTTGTCCTAGGCCTACAAACGCACGTGTTTCGTATCCAAGGGGTGGGGCTTAGTGGCGTCTAGCGTAGGCCTAGTTACGCGCAATGCATACGCACATCATCTCTTGGCAACGTGTCGTAGGCTTAAGGCCAACTCAGACAGCGTCGTACGACGCAGCGCCCGACTCGATGTGTTGTCGCGTTGGGTCTGTGTGAGTTGAACGCAGCCGCTATGGTGTGCGTCGGGGGAAGTCGCGTCGTAGAATATTAAACATGTTTAATATTTCTCACGAAGGTTTAAGACTGTCCCCGACAAAAAATCGGGTCGGGCTGCGTCGGCCGGCGCTGTCTGAGTTGGCCTTTAGATGCAAATAATAAAAATTTTTTACAACCGAGTGTTGAGGTGGTGAAATGCGTACATAAAATATTGGCACAGTGCTATTATTATTTAGCTATAAAAAAAAAAAGTTAAATAAGGCGATAAGAAACATCACTCTAGGTGCTGTGACGTTTATTACAAAATAGGTGGTAACTGTATCTCATATTCTAGGGCGTTGTTTATTCATTATACCGCGCAGCGGCCTTCTTAGTTTAGCAGTGGCGTATTTAAGACTCTTTTGGTATTTATGATAATGTTCATCACATATCGATAAAAACACATTTGGCAGAGGCTGGAACAATGCATTTTCTGTCTATATCGTCCATCGACGTTACCGCCCACGCAGTTTCATCATCATCTCCATCTGTTTATGAATTCATGCCTCTAAAGGCGGGGCTCTATGCAAGCGCCCTCTATAGTCTCTTTAATAGTTTCGGCCATGCAGGCCACGCTGAAATGTAAAATAGTTTCTTTTCTTTTTAGATAGCTATACATGCCTTGACTCGGCATAATTTAAAATCTGATTTTTTTTATGTAAACGACGATGAACCTATAGAAAGATATGAATAATATTTTCTTTTAGATTAAAGAAAGACGTCCTCAATAACCAGGATAAAGAAGAGTTTAGCTTCATTTCTCCCGTGTTCATGATTTGCATCAGTGTCGTTTAATTTGATTGTTTTATTTTACTTGGAAATGAATGGTTACTCTTTGTATTTTCTGAGCTTTGATATTGCTGCTATTAAGATCCGCAAATAGTATTTTTTGATAATATGTAACGCATTATTTTGTTAACGTTACATATAGTTGTCATATGTTTCCTTTTAATTTATCATGTATTTTCTTGACAGTTAAAAAAAAAAAAATAGTCCCACGGTCGACCAGTTTTGTTGTTGTTGTTGTAGCGAACAGTTTGAAAGAATGATGTAATACCACCTTAGTTTAGAATTTCTCAAAGAAAGTCGCTAAAATACTTATTACAATGCTAAGTTTGTGCGTATAGGCCTACATGGTTACGGAAAGACCTTTTACGCGAGACGCGTAACTGTTCATATTACTAAGCGCGCATATTTTGAAAATCAGATTAAAACTACAACGAGTAATACAGTAGCTAGTCTAGGCCTAGTAGTAGTACAGTATTACTACTATAAGGTTAGTGATCTAGCTTGTATTTAAACTAATAATTTAAATACATTATTCTAGATACAATGAAACAAGAGGCCACAAAACATGAACAGGTATATTGAATACTAGCCTAGGCCTATAGTTTCTCAAGGGTCTATTTTTTTTAAAGTTCTGTCAAAATTATCAGATTGTATGTGACAAAATACCTGAGATATGCCCATTTGTTACACACAATTTTATAGTGTGGGCAGATCTTAAAAGGTAGGCCTATAACCAATCTGACACAGTTGTCATTGTGATTGAATAAACGTAATTGACATTTGCAGTAGGCCTAGTACTACGATACTCATTAATGAAGATATAACAGTAATTTCTGGATGATAATTTTAATGATTAATCGGTTTGTTAACGTGTAAAAAACATTAAAATACCCCAAAGCGGGATGAGCGTTTCCTCAGTGTGGTAGGGCTCCGAAAAGCCTCCACTTCATATAAACATAGAACTCTGCTACCAGCGGTTGTGAAACTCTATTTTCTATAATGTGACCATACATTGTCTAAAGAAGGTATCTCCTGATTTTCTATAATGTTAATCTTTCATGACCTGTGTTTATTAAAAAATAAATTTTTAAAAAATAGTTCCACCTTTATGGTAGGTTGTCAAAACATAATTACAATAATATTTTACAACAAAAAAAACATTAATTATACACTTTGTATTATTTATTGTTATTTAATACTTAGTACTGTTAATACTGTATTATTGTTTCCATGAAGGTTACAGCAGATGACCGGGTACAAAAAGACATGACACGACCTAGGGTTCATTCACGTAAAAACAGCGGTAACAAGAAAGCTACTGTTGAAAACAGCAAGAAGTGTGACAGCAGTACAGTTTATAAACAAACCGACCTCAACGAAGCGGATACTAGTCCATGCAGTTCACCAGCCGGTCCCTCTGGTGACTTGTATCCTTACGATCAACCAAGTGAAATAACCATTATAAAACATCCTGTTTTGCCAAGTATTACAGCTGCTGTGACAAAACATCGGTGCCTCCCGCAAGAGGTAGTACCCAAAGGTAAATCTAAGAACACACTGACGACGCAACAACGACCACCTTTTGTTGTCGGACGACATAAGGGAGGTCCTCTGCCTTTACAGACGTCAGCGAAGCATAGTACGTATCGGACAAACTTGGTATTCGTCCCGACCATCAATAATAAATTCCATCAGCATTGCCTTCTTAAGTGTCAACCCCAGGATTCGCTTAATAAATCGACCACATTCAAGGCCCGTAAAAATCCAGAAGGGAACAAGAAAGTTTTGCGCGCATCCACAATCGAAAACACAGGAGAAAATGCTGAACAAACATTGCTTCTGAACTCCATCGCAAAGAAAGAAGACAACGTTGAACCTGACACATACGAAAAGATTGCCACGAATAATTGCATAATGGACAAATCTCGAGATATCAATGAGATTTCAGGTAATAATGAAAGTGATACGCAACGACAGACTACGCAAAATGTCCTAGTCAACATAGATAAAACGGACGACGACGAATTACGCACAACTGTTGACATACAAGAACAAGAAAACAAAGTCTGCAGTAACAACGACGAGGAAGGAGATCAAATAATACGAAATGATCGTGTAGAACAAGAAAACCTTGATCAACCTGACACCAGAGCGACTGCATTGGACTCACCGACACAGGATAAAGCACAACGAAGCATTAGGAAAGATAGGTTGAGTGATTGGTCATGCAACGACCACGTGGTGTGTCAGTATAAAATGACATCCAAGGGCTTTAAGATTAAACTCGTGAATAGAAAGATTGCTACCGAACAGCGAACAAATAATAATGAAACTCCTAAATCTCACCAAGCTGTTCCACATAGCAGTGCCACTGCCGTGATTGATAACCGAGGAACTCAGTATAAAGAGAGAAGAACGCCAGATGATTACCCAACAACTCTGGATAATTTAACATTTGATGTGGATCACGGCAGAAGAACTGAATGTACTACGGTGACAGTCACAGCTACAGAATCAGAACAAAATGGCGAAGAAGATATTCAGAGTAATAATGTTTCAGATAAACAAATTGAAAAAGCTAATCACGACCATTTGGCAGTTTCAAAAAATTTAGCTTCTGAGTTACCTGTAGCTGACCCTCATCCGAGAATGGCAGACGATGATATGCAATCTGATGTCTGTTTCGGAAATGAAGAAGAAACTGTTATCAAGAGAAGTGGCATTTTAAATACACTAAAAATGCCCGACTTTAATACTGATGTGCTTGATATCCGATGTCCGTTAACTGATTTTAAAACACCTTCAGATGCCACCACTCAAGACATGACTGTCCCAACAAACTATAATTTTAAAGATCAGTCCAGCAACGACGAAGAAGAGTTTTTCCCACGTGAGGAGGAAGATGAAAAATCAATTTTGAAGTCTCCAGAGCCAGATGCTATTGACGATAAAGAAGAGACAAAGAAGTTAGAACACGTCGTCCACGCGGACGACATTGTCGGATTCATCAGTAATGTTCAATCAGACAAAGAATCTGAGGGTGAAGGTGTTGCTGACCTGCAAAAGTTTGTGATTAACCCTCACCCGTTGGGTCGTATTAAGGGTAACACGGCGTTTGATCATGCATTTGACAAGCTGTTGACGCTTGAGTACTACGGCAATCTTCTGGCCAGGCTGGCTAAGAATTCCCAAGTTAGACTAATTGAATCTATTGACCTTGTACGCCAGAGCGACAGGGTTTATATTGCTGCTCTTAAGAGCGAGGCCTCAGTACAACTTGACCAGGCGCTTGATGTGTTCATGGGAGAGTTTGCGAGCGCACTTATGTCGTACTACAATGTTTCAGGAGCGGAAGCCGATGCTTGTAATTTCTACAAGTGGTTCAGTCAAGCTGAGAACGAAATGGCAGCTGATCTGACAGAGGGGGGAGACGCAAATGACAAACTGTAGCCCAGGTTTATCCTATTTATTGTACATTGACCTTTGTAACAGCAACCGCGTTTGTTTGATTATGTTTATCAAACCTTTTACGACATTTGTCATAAAAAGATTTTTTTATAACTATGTTGACAAGTCCAACAGGCAACATTAGGACGGCTAAAATAAATATTTAATATCTACATGGTGTTCATTATTGAAGTGGCCTACTAAAATAGCTACTTGTATAATATATCATTGTTTATGTATAATAGAGCATAGTGCAATAATCTACATTTACTTTCAGTTCAATTGATAAAAACAAATGAATTTAAAATTAAAATTAGTTTAAACAGACCAACTTGTGGCTTTGCCCTAACGTAACACACTGCCATGGATAAATTCAAATTATATATTTGTGTAAAATAAATAAATAAATAAACGTTAGGTAAAACAGAGGCTCATTCAACTGAACTTACCGATCAGGCTAAACTTACCAAGAGAGGTGGTAACTGACCATCCACTAATTACGATAACACTTGGGAACGAAATTGTAAATGTCATCTGTTCCATATTCATATTCATAGCCATATCCATATCCATATTCATATCCATATCCATATCCATATTCATATCCATATGCTTATCCATATTCTTATCCATATCCATATCCATATCCCTATTCATATCCATATCCATTCCATCCATACTCTACAGAGAACATTATAGAATGACGTAATACAATTGAAGACAATCACACCTTATTTCTTAGCAGTCAAAACTGAATTTAGAAATAATTGAATAGATGTTATAGATATTAAAATCAACATCTATCCAAAAACAGGAATAGGACACAAGTAGAATAAATGATACATTTCCCTGCATAAAACATTTACTAATATGTGGCAGTGTCTGAGTGACTCGTCGATGTAAACGATCCGTCACCGTGAGTTTGAATGCCTTTGGCGACAAACCTCTTTCACAGCATATCAAACTCAGCCGACATAAGAACAAGTAAAGATATCTACGCTACAATAGATCATAAACGATTTAAATTGTATAGATACTGCAGATTTTATTTTTAAACAAGAGACGATGCACTTCGTCCTCGAGAATTTGCACGAATTTTCAGTATCGAGAAAGCGACCATAAGTCAATTCTTATTAACAATTAATAAGAGACCAACATTTTTAGGATGAATTACCCAGCACAACGGGTGTCTATTTAAAAATATAAAGATGTGAATATAATTACGCAAAAAAAAAAAAAAAAAAAAAATATTTTGAACTTTCTAACACACAGTTATGCATGAACATTTTTCGAAACCACAATAGGATAGGATGAGAGAGAAACCTTGGTTTGATAATCGGTGAAGAAATGTGTTAACTCTACGTTCACATGGATTCGACGGCCGACGATCGTACGATGCTGTGAGTGCCCTGCTTTACAGTACGTTTCACACATAATTTATGTACTTTCGGGGGTGGCGCCAGTATTTACGACGAAAGCGTAAGTGGGCGTAGTCAGGCGTTGAACAAAATCTCTCGGAATTGGTCCGAAAAGTTTGAAAATTAAGTGTTTCAAAGGCCATTATTAGGTAGTTTTCGCCGTACGATGTTAACCTTAACGTTAACGGATGACGTCATAATTTATTCATCTTGCGTTGCGGAGTACGTAAATTTCAAGATTTTACGTGCTCTACGTACGTTAGTTACGGGTTTGCGCATGCGTATTTCGATTTTGTTTACAAAAAGGGGCGGAACTATCGCGTTGCATGTTGGGTACTAACGTTAAAGTTAATAGTCCAGTCCGAAATGTAGCAATATCAGAGGTTGCATTTTTTTTTTGCTATATTTTTTAAAAATTGGATATGATGTAGAGTATACATTGATAAATCAAAAAAGTATGTGCAACATTTTTTTTTTCATACGTAAGGGGGGTTGCAAGCCGTTTCAAAATGGCCGCCATTTTTTCCTAAAATTGTCACTAATATTGTAAGTTTATGTTATTAAAATGCAGCATTCAATTGGAAATTCACTCATAACAATGACAACAACAGTTAACTAAATATTGTACACATTTTTGAGCTATTACAATTTAAAATGGCTGCCATTTTCCATTATTTTAGCTTTTTAGCGTACATATTAATATAATATTAACCGATCTGTACTGTAAAACAAAAACGTGTGATAGAGCTACTGTAGTTATATGCAAATGCCATATGCTGTTAATGGTTATTACCATAATATATATGTGATA